TGACAGATGAAGGGGAGAGCAAGGTAGTGGGTGACAGATGAAGGAGAGGGGAGATGAGGGATGACGTGAAAGGAAGAACAAGGTAGTAGTTGACAGATGAAGATGGGAGGGAATTGTTGGGAGACAGATGAAGTGGAGAGAGGTGGTGGGTGAAAGATGAAGGAGAGAAGGAGGTGTTGCGTGACAGGGATGGAGAATGGGGATAATGACAAATAAGAGAGGGGGATGGAGAAGACCAGTGAATGAGAGAGGGAGATGAAATGATCAAAAAATAAATAGAGGGAGATGGAGATAACAAATGACAGAGGGGGTTGAGCAACATATAAGAGCAGGGGATGGGATGAATAAGAGAGGGGGATGAAGATAATTAATGAATGGGAGAGAGGTTGATCGAGAAATCAGTGAAGGGGACAGTAATAATGAATCAGAGAAGGAAGGGATGTTCAAGAAAAGAATTTGAGAGATAATTTCAAAATGAGAGATACGCAACAATCTTAACATTTTTGTGAATTTAGTTTTGTGTTGTTATGAGCCCAAAATGCAATTTGCAGATCAGGAACACTAGAATTAAACAGATGCAGAAGTTTAAATATCTGGGAAACATTTTGACAGAGGAATGTAGTGTGACACTAAAATCTGTAGAAGTATTATGATGGCCAAGGATGCATTCCAAAAGCTGGGCAAAATATTGCGAGACAGAAGGATTTCTTTGGTAACAAAGAAAAGAATACTGAGCTGTTATGCAAAATTTGTCTTTCTTTATAGCAGCAAATGTTGGATGATTTCCTCAAAGATAAAAAAGAGACTTGAGGTGACAGAGATGTGGTTCTATAGAAGGATGTTAAGGGTATCATGGACTGAGCATGTGAGCAACGATGAGGTCTTAGAGAAGATGCAAACAAGGAGGAGGTTTATACTTAACATCAGGAAGAGGCAGCTAAAGTTTATGGGACACATAATGAGGAAGGAGGGCCTGGAGAATCTGATACTCATGGGTCAAACAGAAGGAAAAAGATAAGGGAAAACAACACATAACATCCCTAGCGGCCTTAAGCAAGTGGATGATAGAATGTGGTCTGGGGGAAGTAGCAGAAGGGTGGAACTTGTTGAGAGCTGCAAGGGATAGAGGGAGGTGTGGAGAGCCATGATCACCTACATCCTGAAAGGACATGACACATAAAAAGAAAAGAAGTTTTGTGTTTTAATTAAGGTCTATTTAACTGCTGCATTTGACACAAATGATAGTATCATGACTAATGTCCTAATCATCTAACAAAGTTTGTCATGATATTAACAACATTTTGTCATCATATGAACACAATATTTTTAACAAACAAAATAAATTTTCCTTATAGTGATTCACAGTTAATCATCTTTTTTTTTTTCTTTAAGAGTTTTTTTTTTTTTTTTTACTTATAGTGGTTTACAAAGCCCAGAGGCTACTCATGGTAGAGGGTTACAGAGTAAAATGTACAGCTTATGTGGATATGTGTGCAAGATAATGGTTAAACCTAGACTCGAACATGTTAAGATTGTTGAGATTGATGAAGCAGCTATTTAGGGGTTTGTTTCATAAGTCAGTGGTTCATAAGAAGCTGCTCGAGTGGAACATACATCTCACCATTGGAATATGAAGGGAATGAATGTGGTTTGCTACATGTGCATGTGCATGACGGGTTTTAGCCATGAAGTTCAGGATTGGTGGAACTAAGAAGTGTAGTTCATTTGAACATTATCCATGAAATAGCATTAGAACAATAAGAGGCTTATGACGTCTCATCTGTAAGAAAGGAGTTGCAGAGTGGAAAATCATTACCTACAAGTGCTACTTGAGTTACACTTTTCTTCACCCCCTGGCCATCAGGTTGAGATCAAAGTGTAGTATCTGTTATTCTCATCTCTAATGGTAATATTAACTGTTTCCTTATAAGGAAACATTTGGAATTCATTGACCAAGTTGACTATTACTGTTGAAATTTATAAAAAAAATACTTTCTCTTAAAACAATTTCTCAAGTAAATTTCTCAAGTCTAGTTGCTGGTTTTGCCCTTTCCAGTATTGACGGGTGTTTCCTTCTTAACCTTTTATTTGAAGTAGTGTGGAATGTCAGGTGCTTTTGGAGTATATTGAGAGTAGAAAGTGAAGACTGGGCAGCTCCTGACCATATATAGCAGCAGTACGTTTTTGGTTTGATCTTATTATCAGGAGTCAATTCTAAGCCTGCTGAGAAGTTTTGCCAAAAAAAATATGGAAATCATGGCTTATTTCAAACTTACAAATTTCCAATCATCTGAAGACGTTTTAGTCTTTAGAAAAATGGAAATAAAAAGGATACAGAATCAGAAAGAGATACCTAAAATTTCTTGGCCACATGAAGAAAGGGGGCTTGAAAATTTGACACACACAGGATGTATCACATGCAAAAGGGTAGGCAGCTGACCACTTACCAGTTGAGCTTGTATGAATGGATGTTAGAACTGTGGGGGTGAGAGATTGCATAAGGGGTAGCTCAGAGCTACAAGGGATAGGAGTTCATGGACAGCTATGATTGCCCATATCCTAAAGTGACTAGGCATGCTTTTACCATTTCAGCCATGGAGGCACCTACAGTAAAACAAGACTCAGTTACCCTTTTTAAGAAATAGACATCTTTTGTTATATCCTTTCAAACTTTATCTTTGTTTTCAAATCCGAAATATAAACAAAAGTAATTAATTGCTGTAAGTGCATCTGTAGCTGAAGTGGTAAAAAAAGCACATTTAGTTACAAGGTGGTTTCCCTAAGCTAAAAAGAGAATGCAGGTTCAATCTTTGCTGAGAGATACATTTTTATAAGCTTTTCAATGCCAAAAGAATCAATTTCACATAAAAAAAAACAGAATAGATATATCTACTCAAACACAATGTACCAACTATAAATCATAATGTACCCACATTACATTTATAGTTGGGCACTTCACTGTGGTATAAGGGTTAGCTAGTTTGTCTTGGTAGATCAATTAGTACTGAATAATGAGTTTGAACCTCAATGGGTGCTGCATACTTCAAGCCTTGTGCCACATCTAAGCTACACTTTGAAAAGCACTATAACATTTATACTAATACTAGCTTAAAAACTGCCCTGTCAGGTGGCATTTAAACTAGCTTCTGAGGAGGGCTCTTTTGGACCTTCATCACACTAGGTAGGGAGGAGATACAATAGGCAACTATAAACTACAGAAGAACTCAAAATTGATCACTGCATTTAAGTATTGCGTTAATATTTAAGCTTACCTTTTAAAATTTCAATGATAATTCTACCACCACTAAACTTAATCATAATTTGATCTATGTAGGTCCTTACTTATCATACAAACAATTATATTTCATGGGTGACTTTTGCTAGATTTGGCAATTAATTTTGATTATTCCCAAATTTATTTCCAAATTGTGAAAATTGTTATCATACAAAAAATTTGCCAAAAACAATCTGGAAAATTGGGAATCCAAAATTTCAGGATTGCAGGTCTGGATCCGGCCCAGAATGTTTTTAATTTGTTCACAGAGTTGGCCTGATTTCAAAATGGTATGATATGTTGGGGTACAACCTCTAGGAATAAAGTTGAGAAGTGTGACACAGTAACACACTGGCATTTGCATTTATTACATAGAAGAAATAATATCTGATTAACAAATAAATTCATTAATTACTTTTTTATTATTATTATTAATTATGAGTATAAAACAAAATTAACAGATATGGCAATAGAACAAATGTTGCTAAGAGCAACAAGTGATAAGAAATTTTGTAGATCTATGATTGCCACTTATCCTGAAAAGACATGGCATATTGAAGATATGTAATGTAGAAGGAGTGCCTAATGCAGTCAGACTACTTGCAAGTAGTCTGACTGCATTAGATACTCTCCTATAAATGAGGTAGATTAACTGGCTTGCCTTTAGAAGGTGATACAAGAAGGCAGCCATGTTAGCAGGTAAGTCATTTGACTTCTACATGTAGCATTGTGGGTGTAGAATAAAGGAGAATAATTTAAAGCTGAGGATTAAGAAGAAAAATATCTAACTAATAACTGCACAGTTTGTTAGAAATATTTCATATTTCTGGAATATGATATATTTGATAGGGTCAGTTTACAGTCACAAGTCCTTCAAGAAAAAAAGAAAAAAGAGTCAGGAAGTGGCAGGGTCTTTTCACTGGTCAGTGAATTGACTAATTCACTAATAGTGAGAAAGCAAGATTTCCTGGTAAAAAGGAGTTCTTCCTTTCAAGATTCTTTAGTGTGTTTTTTCTCAAAATCCACACACAACACAGTATCATCTGTGTTTCCCCTTTTAATGGGAATTCAAAATTTTTACTCTAGGTTGTTGTCTTACCTTCAGGAAATGGAAGATTATGGCTCTCCACAAATTCCTATCCTTTGTAGCTCCTTAGTAAGGTTTGTCTATTCCTCATAACTCTTGGTCCTTGTTCTATCAACCATTTACACAAGCTTGTTAGGTAGGTCTTCCATTGCTTTCCTCTGGCCTTCAATATATCTTGTGAACGTTAAACTTTCTAAGCCCTCTTTCCTCATTATGTGCCATAAAAATTTCAACTCTTTCTGATGCTAAGTATCTTTTCTATATGTTCCATGTATGATATTTTTAACATCCTTCAGGAGGAACACATTTCTGTTGCTTCAAGTCTCTTCTTCATCTGTAGGGATATTGTTCAGCATTAACTGCCATATATTGATTGATTGATTTGTATTCTACAGCTTATTAACCCTTTGCAGGTTATTTAAAGCCAGAAAATATTTTTAGATAGTAATAATTTTTTTTTGAGATAATAATGGTTTAGTGATAAAAGTCTTATTTATTAACCCATAGCTGAGAGAGAAGTGGTGGATTATAAGCATATTTGAATCTAAGTGAATATACCATGTCCAGCAGGAATTGGAAATTAGTTATTTGATTAAGAATTCCAAGCCACTAACCATTATACCACCGACATCTAAGCTTACAGCACAGTATTCCCAAGCAATCACCCATCTAGGTACAGACCAGGCTTGATGTTGCTTAACTTCAGTGATCATACAGGAACCAGTGTTTCAACATGATACAGCTATAAGCCTCACTGCCATATTGGAGGACTGATATTACATAATATTATAATATGATATTATAACAGATTTGAGAATATGTTTAGTTTTTTTGAAGGCATCTTTCACCATTTAGGTTGTCACATTTTTATATATATATATATATATATATATATATATATATATGGGAAGTTGTATACTAAAACAGTATTTGTTTCTAGGGAAGAGACATATTAGTGTGTCTAATACAGAAACAGAGATAAAACCTTGGTGAAAATAACAATATAAATAAACTTTCATTGCTTTACTATGAATCTTGGCTACATGTGACATACACAATGCCACACCAGTTAAAAGTCTGTTCGGAGAAATTATGGTTCATTTTTACTTACCTTGTATGTGTTTCTTTTCTTCTCAGTGCCTGTGAAAACCTTTTATGACTCTCATCAACACACTCCTGCTGTGGACAATAGTGCAATAAACAAGCACTCTGCCATCACGAGTAGCATTATCTGCACCAGTTTGCAATACAACAATTGCTTTGCAATTGATGCTTAGCTTAAAAAACTCTGAACACTTGCTCATGGAGTATTGTTACTCGATATTGGCATCAGGCAAATACTAGCTGTAAGAAGTTACAGAACAAAATGGAGTAAGAAGTGGAATTCCGGACAGAGTCAGGAAATTTAAAATTGATAATTTAGTGCTGAATGGTCATTTTGTGAAAGTTTAAAAAAAAAAGTTACTTTTGTTCAAGTCTGAGACAGTTTCATGGCCATCCACAACTTCTCCTGAATATACAAAAAGGTAAATAAATATTACTCTAACTTTTATGTAAAAGTTTTCCTCCCCAAAACTTAGGCATTAAACTGCTAAAAACTTGCCTTGGTACAGTGTAAATAAATGTGTATGTTCACACGTCTTAAACACACAATATAATCATGTCAATGGTAATATCAGCTGTTTCCTTATAAGGAAATTATTCATTGACTGAGCATCCAGTACTGCTGTCAGTTAAAATCTATAAAATCTTTCTCTTAAAATAATTTTTTTAGGAAAATAAGTTTCTCAAATCCAGTAGCTGTTATTGCTCTTTCCAGTATTGAGGGGTATTATGAAGTTTACTTTCCTTTGTATTTTATCAGCCCAGCAGTAGTAATTTATCTCACATACCAAGAGCTATTTTACCCTTACTATTTAGGCATTTATATAGTCTATGTCTTAGTTATGCAAATTAGGCAGTCATTTACATATCATTACAATGGGGGTTCCCTTTTTGACCTTTTATTTGAAGTAGTGTGGAACATAAAAATTGTGATTATATATATTTTTTTTTTCTGTTTACATGCTATTTTTATAGATAAAATATTGAAGTAAATGTTCGTTTTCTAATAAGTAGTATTAACTACATTTACTGGCCTAAATGACTGAGAAATTTCATAGAAAACATGTGTCCTCCAACAGGAATCAAACCCGTATCTTACATGGAATAAATATATAAAAATAATTGTCCACTTCATAATATATGTTGTCATTTGTTTTCATTAAGTTATGCTTTGAGCAGATATGATCATTCGAAAAAAATCAGAGAAAATTTGTTGTTTAAAAACAGTAATTTTATTTTGCTAACCAGATGCTTCCTCTGTAGCTAAATAGTATAGCATGTCATTGCTCAAATATTCATTCCATGGTATCCTCGTAATCTTTCTGTAGGACCATATTTTTGTTGCTTCAAGTCTTGTCTTCCTCTTTGGAGAGATAGAAAGAAAGAGGCAGAGCCAGATGGAATTGACTGTTAGAAACTTAAATTAGACTTATATTACACATGATGTCATCAGATGTATTAGTCCGTCAAACATGTGTGCATTTGTTTTCCAGATTAAAAGAGTTACTGAATAATTGATGGACTATCTATATACTACTACTACTACTGATTATGATGATGATTATTTAGAGAGTGTTAATTTCACTAATGACATAGGAAAGCAGTTCAGCTAAAACTGGTGTAGGATAACAGCTCTATATCCTTGCAGTGTATACAAAGATTGCACCAATATTAATGCTTCCTATTTGGTTTCACTAAAACTATCATAAATACAATGAGCACAATAACATTATTGGATACAACACGTTCTTTATCTACAAAACACTATTTTTCCTCACATAGTCACCAACATTAACTATGCATTCTTTTGCCTGCAATGAATATTTTATGGGTTGAGATAGATTATAAAAAAAAACTAATAGAGAGATGCTCCGAAAATAATCCCTCCTATTTATTACCATGGAAACACAAGAGCAGAATAACACTATTAGATAGAGGAAGTTTTTAGCTCAAAGCCAAAGATACACATTAGCAGCATTCCTTACAGTTTATTGCTTTCATTTTATTTACATTATTAATGTGTACTATTGTCCTCACATTTGTTATTGTTATCACAATGTTACGACATTTGTACCCTCTGGCCTTCAGCAAATGTATGTCGATCCAGGTAACCTACAATGAATTTATCCTCATCCTGGAAATTCCAGGCAGAGATTTCATTTTATTTACCAAAATAAAGATGAAAATATATTGGCATTAACTGATGTCTGTTAAACTTTCAGGAAATATTTATATGAACAATATTGTTATAACATACCTAGAGGCAATAATGGGTATGTCCCCATTCAAATAAATACAGTAGTAAATACTGTATGTTAGTCTGCAGTTGGAGATTCATTGTGGAATTCACTTGACTCACTTCTAGCAGTTGACGACTACTTCTACATGCTGATGGCAAATCTTATATGTATTGTTCTTGGCCTAAGTATTATTGTTCATTACCAACCTTTGTGTGATTATTCTGTTCTGTAACCTTCACTAGGTTACAACAAATATATTGTTTGAGTATCAGCTTATATCTTTACTTATTTTTTAGTTTTTTTTTCTTTAGGTTAGGAAAAAACAGAGAGAGACCAAACAGGTTCTGAAAGTGATGCCTGCTACCTGTATACAAAGACACAAGGATTACAATAATACTTTTGGATAGGGCCAGTTTTCAGCTATAAATATTATTTTTCTACATAGTCATTACCATTGCTTATATATCTTTGCCAGCAATGAATATTTTGTGGGGAGAGATTAGACAGATATAAACTGACTAAAAGGAAAAGAGAGAGTATGTGCCCCAAAAGTAATATTTGTTTCCATAGAAACATGCAAGGAGCACAATGTTGAATCAAGTAAGTTTCCAACTACAAAACACTATTTTTTCACTTAGGCATTACCATTGCTTATATAACTTTGTCAGCAATGAATATCTTGTGGGCTGAGATAGGCAGATAATGAACAGACAAAAAGGGAGTGGGTGGGGAATATATGCTCCAAAAGCAATATTTGTTTCCATAGAACCATACATAGCACAATTTTGGATCAAGTAAGTTTTCAGCTACAAAACACTATTTTTCTATCTAGTCATTACTATAGGTTAGACATTTTTGCCAGCAATGAGCATTTTTTTGGTTGAGATAGAGAGATAAGAAACAAACTGAGAGAGAGAGAGAGAGAGAGAGAGAGGTGATGTGCTCTGAAAGTAATGATTCCTGTTTGTTTCCATAGAAACATACAGAGAGTACAATGTTGGATTGAGTAAATTTTCAGCTACACAATATTTTTTTCCACATAGCTATTGCCATTGCCTATGCATTTTGCCAGTGATGAATGTCTCATGCACTGATAATTTATGAAAGGGTTTTTGTTTTTATCTGAAGTTATTTCTTATTACTATAAATGTTAATTTTTTTAGTGTCTACACGTATTTGAGTTGCTATCCCTGCCTGTATTCGGTTTTATTAAACAGTAAAATAAAAAAAAACAACCAGCTGAGATCAAGAATTCCTTGCATTCAATTTTTACCATCAGGAAAACCATCCTGGGTATGACGATAAACTACATTCAACAGCAAGGCCTCTGATCAGGAGGTTTTGAGGAGTGTGCAACCACCTCTTATTTGCTGGTGTTTCCAGGTCCAAACTAACCTGGGCTGGTAGCACCTGTTAGGGTCCCAGGTATGGGTAAATAATTAACCCACAAACTGGGGTAAAAACACTATGAAAGTGTAAAAATAGGTTTTAATACTGGCAATACATTTTTGTAAAAAATTATGACCAACAATGAATTTTTAAAGAAAAAATTATTACCGACAATACATTTTTGGAAACAAAATATTATCAGCAATACATTTTTGAAGAAAAAATATTACAAGCAATAAAAATCTTGTTGACATTAAATAACCCACTGAGGTTGATATGCCATAAAACAAAGCAAATCAAACCATTAGGATAATATCTTTTTGAGCCAAAGTGTACCTCTACTAGTCCAGTCATGAAGACCAACCCAACAGAGCAACTCTGGAATTACCTATTAAGGAAAGCGTGATTTCTCATTAGGACTTCTACAAATCTATGTCTCCTAGCTTCGTTTTCATACCTAAAATATAAATATTAGTAGTTTAGCAAATTTCCTCAATTTAGGATAGTTGCTATTAATTTCCAAATTCAAATGCAGGGACTTGTCACTACTGTTGGAAGAACCCCTCCCTGATTGACCATCTCTTTAGCGGGGTGTATGTTAATTTTTAACTGAATGTGTAAATTTTTCTATTTTCATTTGGTTAAAAATTAAAATGCACAACATATCCTTGAAAATGGCTAATAGAGTAGCCGAAAGCAATCAGATATATAGAACATTTAGATAATTTTTACACATTTTATGTCTAGAAAAGAATACACTTATATGAACATAATAAAAATTAAATAAAAAAACTATATCATATAAAGATAACCTGTAAACCTTACCAATATCAGATGGTTACTACTATTTTTACTGTTAAATTATTGACCTGCGTAATAAAATCTGGCATATTGTATATGTAAGTAGTTCAATTAAAATGCAAACTTTTGAATGCCTGACCTTCTGACCTTGAAACAAATTCAAAACTTCAATATTTGCAAGTAGGATGCAAAAACACCTGTCAATTTATCTGCACACCTGCTGTCTATATTTTGGAGAAATAACAATAAAAATCATTCCTGATTGCTATACGAGAGTTCCAGCTAAGATGAGCATGATAGAACCCCATGGAGATTATTTTTAATGCCAAAGATTTTAAAGTAGAAAATAAGTGCAGCTACCAAGCAAATAGGATTTCTTTTCATAGGGTCATGTGATTTCTTGCTACAAAGTGGCTGAAAAAGAATGAAAATTTGATTCTACAAATTGGAAAAAAAGCAAGATTTCTTTTTTCTTTCCTCTTGACATTTTCAAATTTGTGTGATATCTGGCAATTCTTGATTATTTTCCTCCATTGTTTTTGATTCTTACTTTTGAAACAAATCAGAGATTATTCTGTGTCATGTCTCTTTCAGGATGTGAGCAATCATGGCTCTCCACAACTCTCTGTTCTTTGTAGCTCTAAGCAGTGTTTATCATTTCGCTATCTTTCCTAACCCCTGTTCTGCTAGCCATTTAAACAGGTGAATTAGGTAGGTTATTTACTGCTTTCCTCTGCCCTTCAATATGTCCTGTGAGTGTCAAATTTTCCAAACCCTTTTTTCTCATGTACCCTTGAAATTTCAACTGTTTTTAATTCTTTCTAAATATGTGTCTTTTTGTTTCCATTTTTCCTTAAAGCTGGTAATATGTTGAAACACAGGTTCTTGTATGATCACCAAAGTTAAGCAACACCAAGCCTTGTCAGTACCCAAGTGGGTGACCACTTGGGAATACCAGGTGATGTAAGCTTACATAAGCAGGTGGTGTAAAGGATAATGACTTAGAATTGGAAATTGCAGAATTGAGTTCACATTCCAGTTGAGTTTGTTATATTCACTTACATGAAAATACTGTTAGGAAAGGTATGAATCCACCTCTTTTCCCACCAGCTATGGGTTAATTAGTATGACTTGTATCAGTAAAAATCATTGTTCTCTCCAAAAACTTCTGACAATTTAAAAATATTTTCTGGCTTTAAATAACATGCATAAAATTGATAAGCTGTAAAAAAAACAAAAACAAAACAAATCAACCTAAAACTTCCTAGTTACTTACATGTTTGGTCCATGGTATTCTCAGTATCATTCTGTAGAACCACATTTTTGTTGCCTTAAATCTATTTTTCACAAATATATAAAAGCATTTTGAAAAAAATAATTCAGATTCTGGTGAAAAGGTTGGAAAGTGTTGTGGCAAAAATATATTAAAACAATAAAGATGAAGATAATAATTGAAATAATTGTCATTATTTATGTGTTGTTTCCTTTCAGGCTGTGAGGGGTCATAGTTCTCTACATCTTCCTATTTCTTGTACTTCTAAGCAACATTAGTCTTTTAACCATGCCTCTAGCATTATCGTTCATAAACTCATGACTTATGTTGTCCACTGTTTCTCTCTACTGCTAACTGTTGTAAAATATGGTAAGGGGGTGTTGGAGTTGGGGGAAGCCCCTAATCGATTACTCTCAAAAGAACCATGGGGTAACAGACAGAGAAGGGAGGAAACAAAACCACATTGCCTCAGAAATCATAGCACAGCTGATGACATGCCACTTTAGGAAATAAAATGCCCAAAGGGAGTGATTTCATAAAACATGAGCATCACCATCTGCTGACTACTGTCTGTTGGTTTTTCTGACAAAGACCAGGATCTGAACAAGTTGCAGAGATGCTTGTATCTAGACATGCCAAGCTGCCTCAGTGCCAGTGGGGAAAACTCGGATGCAACTTGTTTTGACAGACATATGACTCTTTTGCATCTGTACTAATGCACATCCATGATACTAACTTCCCTCATTACATCCTGTTAGTATCATTTTAGAAAGTCAGATAATCATGTGAAAAAAATAAATAAAAACAACAAAGATGAAGATAATTTCTGTGTGAATATCCTATTTATTATGAACACAGAAACACATTTTGGAAATTTGATGTCATTTACAGACAAGTCAAATTGCAAAAAAAAAAAATTATACTTAGAGATACAGTACAATTTGATAGTTTATCTGAAAATCTTGTAGTCGTAGGCATCCATTTATCTTATGAGATCATGTTAGCACCCTGTTTGGTCAAAATTCAGTCCTTTGGTAGGGAGACTGGAGTGACCTCTACAGGACACAGGCCTGGGCAATAGTATATGGAGGTTGTGTGCTGCTCAGACCATATAGTTCCCCACTCTTGGTCATGCGACAAGATCTAAAGAAATACAGGACATTACATTTGGGGTATACATTGCTGCAGGAGTTTCAGTGTTGATAGCTAACTGCTTTCTGGGCTCCACACCAGATTTAGCCTTTTGCATGTCTGGATATGGCAGCAAGGCAGCGGGTGTTTTCTTTCTCTTAGATGGACTGTCTCCTCCCTCCCCCCCCTCAGTAGGAATAGATAGGTTTGCCTGTCATCCAGTTCACACTCTGCCCTGGTTTTTTGAACAGGTGTAGAGGTTTATCCTTGTTTCCTCTTTAGGATTGGGTTTTCAGTTCCTTCTAAAGTCTACTTCAAATCTATAATCTAACATCTCTGTCCAAACAAAATTTTATTTAGTATTTATTTATTTTCTCAATAGGAGCAGGTCATTATTGCCCGGTTCACACACCTTTCCAGTCTTGAACATGAGTAGAAGTTTGTTTCCAGTTATTTCTTAAGTTTTCATTCTCTTTCACTTCCAGTAGCCCATTGCATTTTAGTGGCATTATCACCTTGCTTGGGGTGAATTGATTTAGAAACAAAAAAAATGGTGAGTTCCATTTACATGAAACAGCTTCTCAGACTTGAAGCTGGACATAGTTATCAGAGGCTATTTGAGACACGCCATGAAGGATTTTATAGATAGTGGGTATTTATACTACCATTCCCAGATTTGATAACCATTGGAACATATATAAAGTAATATACTTTCTTTGTATTCATATTACAGAAAAGGCAACTTTAATCAACACTATTGCTTTCAATATGTCTTATATTTTTTTGAGATGAGGTATTGTAACTATTTACACTATTTACATTGTTCAGACTGGTGAAGAGTTGAGTTTAAGGGAGATAACCAATTCTGAGATATCTGGAAGAGGCATGGAACATGGAACTAGAACAATCTACTGCGGTGGACAAAATAAAGGTTTCAGTTACAAATTCCAATCGCCTGAAAAAGGCCAGAGAGTGCAATGGCCGAAACATCAATATGGCAATAAAGATGAGGACAATAGTCCGAACAACATAAATAGTGTAAATACTATAGCTATGAATGAATATCTTTGGTTTTGGTAAAACCTGATGCTTCTTGTTAATAAAAAAGGGTGAATATAGTAAAACTGGATAATTTAAAAAAAAAAACTTTCAATCATTTTATCCCCTGAAATCATAAAAAAAATAATCTTTCATTTATAGGTCATGACGAAAACAATAGTGTTTAGTTTACATTAACCCTTTCCACACCAATTATTTTGGGAAAGTCATTTCATTTCAATTTTTTTATTTGTTTTTAATATAGTAACTAAGGAAATAAGGCACCTTGAAATACTCGAGTAACACTTCTGTCAGATGTATTAGTTGACAATTGGACTTGTTTAAAGCTCAGAAGGAAATAAAGAAAATCAAGATTGACATATAAACATGTCTGTAGGTGATTTTTGAATGTTACGTTTTGGACATGTTTATTTGTCAATGTCTGAAAAAGACACTTTTGGAAAAAAGATATATAGACATCTACATTGAGGAAGTGGTTAACATTCAAGGCATTGTTTTGGGGTTTTTTTTAAGTATTAAGCTTCTATTAGCTAAAAACCAAGATTCCTAAGCTTCAAGAACCAAAGCAGTCAAATATTTAACAGAAAGAGCAACCCCACTCTTTTTGTTTTTTTTTTTTGCTATAATATCAGAGAATGATACATCAGCCTCAATCTTGAATGCCAACTTACGAGCCTTGACACGAAACCTACAGTGTTTATTCAGGCATATCAAGTTAAGGAATGTATCTATTTTTACATGATTTTTATCAATTTTTTTCTTTTCTATAGAGGTAAGAAAGTGCAATACAGATATTTCTTCCGTTTTTGAGTGTCCCTGAAGCTGCTATATAAAGAAAAAAAATGAACAAACCCCACATCTAACAATAACTACCAATATTCAAAAAAATAAATAAGAAAATAAACAAAATAAACCCTAAAATTTGTGCTGTTATCACTGGAGGGGTAAGCATATTTTTGAAACAAAGTTGGGATGTGGTGAATCAGAGATATTGGGTATAGGAAATGAGAAATTGGGGTGGGGGTGGGTCTTGTAGGCCAGAGATTTACAGCTAATATAGCCACAGAGAAAGAAGGATGAAAAAAAAAAGAACGAATTACAAATAAACAAAAAAATTTATTTTTGAATTTTAACAAATTATTTTATAAATTCAATCTGAGAGAGCAGAAAAAAAATGACAGGCAGAAGAGAAATCTTCATTTGCAATCATGGCTCTCCACAACTTCCTGTTCCATGTAGCTCTTAAACGTTGTCTATCTGTTATTTCTCCTAAGCCCTGCCTCACTATTTTAGGCTTGTTCTTTATTTGAAAATGTTGCAGCAAAATTTTATTATTATTCACTGCACTATTTTTGGTTTACTAAACTAAGTAATTAAAAATTACCAAAAATGAATGCTACTACTTCTTTATGTGCTGTGCCACTTCAGGACATGAGTGATCATGGCTCTCCACAACTTCCTGTCCTTTGTAGCTCTTAATAAATTGTCTTTTTGTTATTTCTCCTAAACCTTGCTCTGCTAACCATTTAGTCAATCTCACTAATTATGCATTGTTTTTCTGTCCCTCTTGCTCTCTCTTTCTTTCATGAATATCAGATTTTCCAAGCCCTCCTTCCTCATAATATGCTGCAGAAACTTTAACTGTCTCTTCCTGATGTTAAGCATTAGATTCCTTTTTGTTTTCATTTTTTTCAAATATTCTTGAGAAATACTCCTCCCCAACTATGGGTTAAATGGTAAAACTTTTATCTGGAAAAATCCTTATTATCACAAATGTTGTTAAAGCAATATTCACTTGTAAAAAAGAATAATTTTTACAAACCAAAATAAGTTTTGGCTTTAAATAAACCAAAAACGGTTGATAAACTGTAAAAAAAAAAAAAAAGATCAAGCCATGTTACAGCATTGTTAAGAAAGTGTTTAAAGGAGAGATGAAAGAGATAGGGAAGAAGGAAAGAGATGAAAAAGGAGGGAAGAAAGAGAGATGAAAGTGAGAGAGAAGAAAGAGAACAGGAGAGAAGAGGAGAGAGAGGATGAGAGAAATGAAAGAGGAAGGATGGAAGGAGTATTTAAATTTCAGTTCTGTTCCATCAAACAACTGAGTATGTAGATATTTTAGTGATACTGTGAGACTGAATTGCATATATAGATTTTAGAGATGTATACTTGAGATATATAAAATGTATATATAAAGTTATGCCTCTTTTGCTGAGTCAAATAAATAAAGGAATTCTTCTGTGATCTTTTAAGTAAAGGTGTAATAAGACAGAGAAATGATGTTGGGAAATATGTAGAGAGGTCGTTGAAAGTAGATCAGTAAAATAGAAAGGTGGTTGGAGGAGAAACAAATTAGGCTTTGTAATTTAGGAGAGAGGAGAATATAGGAAGAGTAAGTAGAAAGTGAGAGTAAAATATCAAACATAGTGGTAGAAGGTAGAGGAATAGAATAGAAAGATGGTAGAAGGTGATACAGATAAGGAAAGATAATTGAGATGAAAGGAGTGG